TCAGGCTCCCTGGATGAGTGAGCACACTTGGGCTAGCGCTGCCCCGTGCCTGAAGGCTGGCCTTGTGGCAGTGGTTCCTGGACTCCAGTCAGTGTCTGAGCCACCTGAAGAGTCTGTTAAAACACAGATTCTTGCAACCCTTTCCACTCCAGATTCTGATGAGTCAGTCTGGGGTGCAGCAGAAATCTGCATTATTAAATAAGCTCCCCTTGGAGATTCTGAAATAGATGGTTGAAGTCTTAGCTCCCAGCAAGCCAAGAATCACTGTTGTGTAAAATATCCAAGCAGGACGTACCCTGAGAGTCCAGCTAATCCAATGCCTTCAATAAGAAAACTGAGGCCCAGAGAGGCGGAGTGATTTGTGCAAGGTCACACAGCGAGCCACTGGCAGAACAGGGGCTAAAATGCAGGCATTTCTCTCCCTGACTCTTTGGGTACTGGCTACTTAGACTGGTCTTCAGGTCCTCACATGCCTAGGGATCTGGAACCCTCCTCACCCACCTAGAAAGCGACTCCTTTTACAGCCACTTCCTGAGCCCCGACTTCAAGCTGAGTCACCCGCCTGTGGCAGCCAAGATGCCACTAAACACCCTATCACCCAGGATTTGGGATGCGGTATTTGCCCCTTGTCACTTCTGGCTGTCCCATACTTCCCTCCCCAAGGACACTCACAGTCAGCCTGTCCTAAGGAGGGCTTCTTCACTCCAGGGACCGACTTGCTGAGTGCCACGTCCTCAGGAGACTTTAGAACCTCAGAAGCCTGTTAGAAACTGTCAGTCACATGGAGTCTCCCGAACCTCCCTCTTCCCCACTCCCAACCCACCCACCCCCACACCCTCATGCCCCACTAGTGTTCCGTGAGGCCTGCAACTCTGATGCTGCTTGGTAAGAGACATACGGATTAGTTTCTGTAAAGTCAGGCCTGTCCCCTGTCTTCTCCCAACCAATGGTCAGCGACAGCACAGTAGGGCACATGGGCCACACCCGCCCACTGCCCAGCCTGAGGTCTCTGCAGCAGTATTTAATGACAACATCCCAAAAAAAAAAAAAAAAAAAAAAAAAAAATGACAACATCCCAGAGTACCAAAGAGCCTCCCAGGTCATACAAACCCCAGAAGCCAGGGCCGGGGGGGGACTGAGGAATTATATAATCAAGACAGTGTGGTACTATTAGAAGGATGGACCAATAGACCAATGGAAGAGAACAGAGCTTCCAGAAAAAGACCCGCAGGTGACTGATGACAGATGCCAGACCCAAAAGACTACACCGTGGGATTCTGCTTATATGAAGTTCAGTAGTGAGCGGAAGTGATCTCTGGCGACAGTCAGAAAGGCAACTCTGGGGGTGGGTGAGGAAGCCTGCCAGAGGGCTAGAAATGATTCGCATCTTTATCTGGCTAGAGATTACATAGCAGATCCATATAAAAATGGTGGACATGTACCATCAGGATCTGGGAGCTCCCCTCTCTAGGTCTCCAATTCCTCACCTGCAAATAGAGGCACTAAGCCCTCCCTCCTAAGCTTACAGTATAGAAAGCGTCTGGCACACAGTTGGGCAGTTGGTAAACGCTAACCATATAAGGAGGTAAAGGAGGAAAGGACAGGGTCCAGTGATGGTAATAATCATGAAAACAACAATAATCAACTAACCACCAATCTGGAGCGCCACCCATACCCCAGGCACTGTGCTCCGTATGGCTCACACACCGCTTGTCTACTCATCTCTCTAAAAGGGGAACAGTGTTTGCATGAAATGGAAAAAAAAAAAACATGCTTGACATGAGTTCAAGGGAGAAGGCCTGCATTCAGTGAGGGCCCATGTGGGGGGCAGAGCTTCTTAGTCAGCACTGCACTCCCTTCTTCAAGGAGTTACTGATGTGGCCGTCACTCTGGGGGGGAGGTGGGGGCTGGTTCCAATGCAGCCAGAATCTGATCCCTGGGAGGGGATGGAGAAGGTGGAGGAGTAAGAGCATCCGACAGACCTGTGTTCAAATGCTTGGCTCTGCCCCCGCTAGCTGTGTGAGGTTGGGCAAGTTGTTCAACCTCTCTGAGCTTTAGCTTTCTCATCCAATCATGGGGTTATGGTCTCTCATCTAGCCCTTGGCAGGCCAGCTGTAAGGAGTAAAGATTACATGTGCCATGTGTCTGGCACAGATTAGTTGCTTATAATTATTATTATTTCTGTTATTGTTTTCCCCAAATCACTCTGATATCGGCCTGCCCCACCCTGCATGTCCACAGAAAACAAAAAACCAAACACTCTGCCCCAGCCCTGCCTCCCAGAAGCTAACCCAGGGCGTGAGGCTGGCTGATTTATTCTCCATTAATTCACAGGGTGTCCACCAAGGGTCTGCTCTGCCCGGAACGCTGGCCTTATCTGCAAGGACGTTTAAAGAGGGCGGGAGGCAGGAGCAGATGAACCCGGGCTCTTGGAGGGCAGCCCCCGCAGGCCCCCTCCCTCCAGCCCCACTGCCCCTCCTCCCAGGCACCTCGCTCAGCCTTGAGAGCGGGCAACTACAGCAGAGCACATCTTTGTTTGCACTTGTCTTTGAAAAATCAAAGCTGCCTCTGATAAAACACCATTGCAGCCCTGGACTCACTGTATCCAAAGAGATTAATGGATTTGGGGGCGCTGCTGAAATGAAAATCCCATGGCAGTGGCAGTAAGTAAATGCTGGTAACCTGGTGGGGGAGGGGGAGGTATGAGGCCTGTGGCATCTTTCCTGATCCACGTTAAGGCTGTTCAGGAAAAGCTGGAGATGATCTCCCTTCCTCTCTCTCCCCCTGCTCACTGGAGCCAAAGATTTTGCACCCAAGGGTCCCGGTGGGCAGAGGATCCCTGGCTAGATGTCTAGGGACACACCCCACCCCAACCACCAGTGGAGGAGATGGGCAAGCAGGTCTCTCCCTCCCTCCTGCGCAGGAGATCGACCCCAACACCTTCCCAGGCCTACCCTAGAAGGCAACAGTGACTGGAGCAGAGTCCGAAGCCCCAAGTTGTGCTACTGGCCCAGTGACCTCGGGAAAGACATCCACTGCTCTCCCTCAGAGTGCCCTGCCATCCGGAAAGTGGAGGGCTGAATTAAAACAGTCCTTCTCTTATCCTTTCCCAACCCCCAAAGGGAGACCTCTTCCAGAAAAGCCCACCAGGCAACTCCAGTGATGGCAGAGCAGGGGGCGGGGGGGCCTGGTGCCTGTCCAGCCTCCCCACCTTGCACACACATACCCTGAGGCCCCCAACGGTTCCGGGAGCATCATTCCCTGAGTTCCCAGGAGGCCAAGGCCAGCTGTGGCTGAGCCCTTCCCAGCCATGTTCCCAGCAGCAGTGCCCTACGCTCTGACGCAACCTCTCCTTTTACAAACTAAAAAACAGTGGTGTCAGAGGGGCTTGGGTTTCAATCCCAGCTCTACGAGCTGTGTGACCTTGGACAAGTTACCTTCCCTCTCTGAATTTCTGATTCCTCATCAGAAGAATGAAGACATTAAGACCTGCCTCCCAGGTTTATTATGGAAAAAAGCACTTGGTACACCAAGTTGGGCATTCAATAAACACAAGGAGATAAAGGAGGAAGAAGGAAAGGACAGAGCCCAAAGATAATGAAAACAACAACAATCTTGCTACCATACTGGAGCACGAAGTACCTGCCAGGCACGGTGCTCAGCACTCGTGTGGCCCTCACAACCTTCTTAGAAGGAGGTCTTTGTCCCCATCAGCAGAGGCCACACAGGCACTCAGAGGCCTGAGCTCCCAAGGTGCACCCTCTCCTACCATTCCACTGGCTCATCTGCTGAGCCAAGAGGTAGTTTCCTCCTCCGGGCCATCCCACCACTGGGACCACAGGCTCATCTTCATATGTTGCCTGGGGTGGGAGGAAGGAAAGAGCATTCACCTGTCTCCACTGCTTCCTCTCACCCACCCAGAGCGATGGATCACATCACTGCACTCCTCAACACCCTTCATGACTCCCCAGTACTTTTGAGGTCCTGCCCAACATCTTCACTACCTGCCCCCACCCTATTTTTCCACACTCCCCTGGAAATCCTGCCAAACTTCACCATTCCCTTCCCCTTCCTTGCCATCACTGCCCCCCAACTCCTCCACCCTGACACACACACACACCCAGCAAATCCCTGCTCATCCTGCCGGGAAAGCTGACCTGCAGCAGAAGCAAGCACCTCCTCTGTGTAGCTCCCTGGGGTCTCGCTCACACCCCTCCCGCTGCCCAGAGGGTCTTGTAAGGATTTAGCTGTGGATCTAACAGCAACACTAGGTGGTGAGCTCCTTAAAGAAGGGAATAATGCCTGGCCCCCTCTGAAGTCCCCTACCTAGCTCAGAGGAGGGACTATAAAGATGATGGGTGTCGTTGAAAAAGTACAACTCCATCATTACCTGTGGGACCCTACAGCAACCGAGAAGAAGAAAATGGGGTACAGGCCTCAACCCCACTGGCCAGCTTTCTTTCCCTGAGACCAATGGGGTGGGAGGCAGGAGACAGAAGCCTTCCTTTTCTTGTAGCTCTGTGAAGTAGAAATAGTTGGCTCCTGCTGTCCCCTGCTGGCCTGACCCCCTTGAGGTCTGGGGAGCAGCAGGGAGAGGGGAGGGCGGGAGGAGGGAGGAGGCTGTGCCCAGGCCCCACAGGACCAGAAGCAGTTAAGTCCCACGGATTTCACGGCACTGTTCTCTGGGGCCGCTCGGCTCTGTGGGGCTCGGATGGTACAAGAGGACAGATGGTAGTCACTTGTTGGAGCATGAGCTGCAAGAAGGGGCTCAGCATGGGCCTGCACCCCACTATGTGCAGCCAGGCCCAGCTTTAGGAGACAGGGCAGAGGGCTGTACCAGATGCCCTGGGAGGATGCTTTGTGCTCAGAGATACTGTAATTCTTCAGACAACAGGCTCTGTTTCAAGGCAGTGAGACCTCACAGGGACACACCTGCCCTCGGTCAGGAGCCCCGACCAAGCCCGTGTCCCGCCACAGCAGCCGTGAGCGCCCAAGCTCACCTCGTTGACGTCAATCTTGTTCCTCTCCATGTAGTCTCTGTCATTGACCTGGCCGCCATCCACAAACTCCATCAGAAGGACCCGTTTGGTGGACAGCTCCCAGTAGATGCGGGGGACCTAGAAGAGGCAAGGGCAGGTCAGAAGGGCTGGCCGGCCCGCAGCTAGAGGCCAGGACCACAGAGAGGCACAGTGAGCCAGGCAAGGGCAGATTCTCCTCCCAGGAACACGAGACAAAGCCCAAGGGGGACCGAGCAGTGACAGGCAGGGGCAGGGGTGGGGCAGGCCACATTGCCTCCTCCACCAGGTAGGCCCCCGGGCCCTCCTTTAGAGCCACCCTCCTGCTTAGGGACCAGAGAACGGCTTCCCCACCCTCCTCAATGCCTCCAGACACCATCAAGAACCAAAAATTGGGACTTAGAGAAACAGGTGAGGAACCCCTCATACCTGAGCCAGACTTGGCACTGAAATCTATTTCCCTCTCTCACCAGGCCCATTGCAGGCTCCTCACATGAATCTCAACCTTCTGCCTCAGTTTCTACACTTGTGCAATGGATGTATTACATGTCTAGGTCTACGAATGAACGAACGAACAAATGACCGAATTTTTACTGGGTGAGAAATTTTTCAGTCAGGAAGTCCTGAGTTTTCTCATGCCCGTCTCCTACAAGTCTTCTGTGGCAGATAATGCTGGATCCTAACCCAGCAGCTATTCCCAGTCCTCCTCTTCCCCAGAGACAGGAGAAACTACACACGTTCCCTGCCCACCTTGCAATAGCTATGGCCTCGTGACACAGTGCTGGCTTAGGAAACATACATGGAGGCCTGCTTGGGGCTCTGGGAAGGTTTTTCTTTTCTTCATAAAAAGGCATGTGCCTAGGTGGCTCAGTTGGTTGAGCATCTGACTTGAGCTCAGGTTGTGATCTCTAGGTCCTGGGATCGAGCCCCACATGAGGCTCCCTGCTCAGCAGGGGGGTCTACTTCTCCCTCTCCTCTCTGCCCCTCCCCACTGCCGGTGTGAGCTCTCTCCTCCCCCTCTCAAATAAATAAGTGGGATCTTTAAAAAAGGGGGGGGTGGAATTCGTAAATGGTGCAACTCTTCTTACCCTTCTTTCCTACCTTGAAAATGAATGTGATACCTGGAGCTGTAGCAGCTATCTTGCAACCATGAGGAAAAGTCCAAGAAAATCAGAGATGCTGGCCCTGATACCATCACACCACTAACACAATATCAGCAGGCAACTGCTGTACACCTTCTTGCCATGTGAGGAAAATAAGTCTTTTTTTGTTTAAGACACTCTAAATTGTGCTGTTGGTTACTTGCAGACAAAGGCATTCCTAATTAATTCCTAATTCCTGACCCTAAGAACACCCAGTGGCCAAAAAGAGAACAGATTTCCCCAGCACGAGACAAGAGTTGGGACTGCAACAAGGGCTGCTGGGCTGCCCGATGAGTGAGTGACACCCAAGAGCACCCCCACTGCCAGGAGGGAGGAATGACTGGGATATCGGCATGCCACGTTTCCCGAACTCATGATGGGCTTGTTTTCACTTACAAATAAAACAAGATAGAAAAAGAAAGAAAGAAACAAGGGCAGTTAATTCAAGGGTTTGGGGGAATAAGGACTCTCCTCATCTTGACCCCCAAAACTCATCTAGCAATAAGACCACAGCCCTCAAGTCAAGAAATCTATTTTCCTTCCTCATTCTGCAAATACCACCATGTCTTAATCCAGCCACTTAACCTCCAGTGCCTCAGTTTTCCTTATCACAAAGGACTGTTCCTGCCCCATCTCAAGAAGGAGCTCTGAGAATGCCTGGGGCTGCACACATGTGCAAAACACTCCGGGCTCCCTGGAACAAAGGTTCCAACTGAAGTCAAGGTGCCACTGTGGTTTGCTACTTTCCTGCCATTCTTGCCATTTGAAAATCTGGGCTAGTAGAGAAATCTGTGACTCTCTCTGACTGTGAGCTTAAAATTCAGTCTTGCGTGGCATTTTTCACAAGCTATCTTTAAAAACAGGAGTGCAAGTTTGCTGTTGTTGGCTGTGGCTTCCAAATGGAAGGGACATATTTTTGAGGTTAAGTTCTTTTCTCGGTTTGTTTGAAAACCTAAGCTTGGCAGTGGGCGCCTGGGGCTCTGGGGACACAAGGTCAGACCCCCATCTGGGCCTGCCTGGGGCAACTTGGAAAACCACTTGAAAGAGCCACAGATGGAAAGAGAAAACCCAAAGTCTGGAGACTCTCCGGGCTTGTTAATCAGGGCAGTGGGAGCACTGTGCTCTCCCCTCCTCCACCTTTCTCCCCAGCCTCCCTCCCAATGCAAGTGTCCTGTCGGACAACACAATGGCCCCTGCCACAGCAGCTTAGATCTGAAACGACAGAATACCAAAGCCGGGAGGTAGAGAGGTTTGTCATGGGAGCTCAGAGAGGACCGCAAATTGCCCCTTGACAACTACATCACAGAAATGACTACAAAATGCAAATTTGCTCCCTGCTCACTTAGGAGAAACTTGGCTTGACTGTGGGACCTAAGGTCGATGACTTGCCCCTAAATCACTCTGTGGGCAGGAGGGTTTGGGAGCATAAGGTGAAATTCACCCCAACACCCATGTTTCATCCCCTTGCCTTCTGCTCCTTTCATCAAAGTGGAGAAAGATGAAAGAGAATCATTCTAAAGAGGCAATGAGAAGAACCCTCCCATGCCCCCCCCAAACAAAATTCAACCCAGGGAGGCTCGTGGCCAGGGGGACCCACTGACCCCACAGGCAGGTTCACACCCTGGCCATCAGGACTTTGAGTCCAAAGTCTATCTCCTTGCCACAAATCAGAGGCCCCACTCCCATGGCTCCACCTGCCCCCCACCCATGCTGGGGTCAATCCTGATCCCAAGAAGGAAGGCACAGATTATGGAAAACTCCAGCCCGAGAACCTGGGCCTCAGCCTCACAGTCTGGCCCTGACCCCATGGTTCCATTCTGTTCCTGTGCTTTGGTCAATGCACCTGTGATGCAGGCCTGGTTCACCTGGGCCCGTGCCCATCTCCTGGGGAGCCCAGGGAAGCAGAGCACAGACCCTGAGGCTGATTGCCAGGCTGGAGCCCTGGCTTTGCTCCCTCCAAGCTGCGTGACCTTGGGCAGGTTTTATAACCGGAGTGCCAGCTTCCCACCTGTAAAATGGCGATGACATTTACAGCGAAGCAACATTCCCAACTTCTTACGAGCATGTGTGGAATCCTGGTGCTCGAAACGACAGCACACACTTAGCCCCTGCTGGACAGACCCCAGCTGCCCTATGAGAGCCATGTAGACCTTCACGGATGGTTCTGACACACGACCAGGGCTGAGGGTTGATGCTACAGACAGTTCAGCACAATTCAGATCTGCCCCATAAACTCTTACGAAGGCAGAAGAGCACCGCGGTGTAACCCGCAGGCTCTGGAGCCAGGCTGCCGCCACCCAGAACCCGCCTCTGCCCCTTCCCGGAAGCTGTGTAACCTTGGGCAAATGGTTTCATCTCTCTGGGCCTCAATTTCCCTGCTGTTGACAAGGGGCTAATCGTGGCCTTTCCCTCGTGGGACTGTATAAGGATTAAGAAGTAAATACAAGCAAAGCACTTTTTTTTTTTTTTTAAGATTTTATTTATGTATTTGACAGAGAGAGATACAGCAAGAGAGGGAACACAAGCAGGGGGAGTGGGAGAGGGAGAAGCAGGCTTCCCGTGGAGCAGGGAGCCCGACGCGGGGCTCGATCCCAGGACCCCAGGATCATGACCTGAGCCGAAGGCAGATGCTTAACGACTGAGCCACCCAGGCGCCCTCAAATTTTTTTTTAAAAGATTTTATTTATTTATATGACAGACAGAGACAGCGAGAACAGGAACACAAGCAGGGGGAGTGGGAGAGGGAGAAGCAGGCTTCCCGCTGAGCAGGGAGCCCGATGCGGGGCTCGATCCCAG